ATTGCTCGGAGGGAGCGGGAATGGTCAGATCAATGTGTAGTAGAGGAAGGATTCCTAATTAAAAAAAGTCTTCTAATTAGTTAGTAGAACTTACAGTCTTATTTATTACTTTAAAATTGAATTCCTAAGTATTATTTTTATATAAGAAATTGATAAAATAACACCTTGAGGTTCTCTAGCACGTTTTCATGATCATGTGACTAGTCTAGTCTTATTTAGGTCTAGCTAGTTGGTACTATTCTATAAACAGTCAGGTTCCTGCTGATGTGGAGCTGCTATGCCCAAAGAGGCTAGCTGTGCCGTGAAAATGACCAGCTGAGCCGTGAGAATAGCAGCACCCTATATTTATTATATAAAGCTATTTAAAGTCTATCTCTAATATACTAAATTCTAACCTTTTAATAAATTTATTAAATTTTATAGTTAATAGTATCTTAGTAAGCCTATTTATAATATTATCCTTTCTACCTACTATTTATAATTAAATATTACTATTCTTAATTACTTCCTTTATAAAAAAGTATAGATATATAGTTTAGCTTCTTAACTAGTATAATAGTATTAGTAAAATTAATATATAATAATATAGTATCTTTTATAAAATCTTATTGTCTAATAATAATATATAGTTTCTATAGTTATATAGCTATTTTTATTACTATATCTTATATAATAAATTTAGTAATAATTAAACTTAAAGTAATTAGTAATTACTTTATTAATCTTTATATAATTAATAATTTAAATATAAAAAATATAAAGTCTTTTATCAATTTTTTATTATTATAATCTATATAAAAGATATATATATATATAGTAAATTATTTAAATAACTTAAAATTATTATATAGTTTAAAGTTCTCTTTAAATATTAAAATATCTATTTAACTACTTTATAATCTAACTTAGTAGAATTCTAATTTTACTATAGTAACTATATTATTATATATTAAATATCTAGTTAAGTCTAAATAATAATCTAATTTAATAATTTAGTTACTTCCTAATAATAAGTAATATTATCTTTACTTATAAAGGTATATATAGTATCTTAAGTAATACTACTATTATCTAGAATAATATTACTAGATTTAAGTAAAATTTTACTAAATATAGAATTCTATTATTATTATATTATAATAATATTTTAATAAATATAAAATCTAAGGTATTAATTTCTAAAATAACTAGTTAATTTTAATTAAAAAATTTTAGTATTAGTTCTTTAATAAATTTTACTTTTAATATTTTAAAAGTAGTCTAGTAAATTAAAGTTTATAAAAATAGAGTTTCTTTTTTTTTTAAAGTAATAATAAGTATAAGAATTTATAAAAATTCTTTAATAAAATATTAATAAAATATTAATAAAATATTAATAAAATATTAATAAAATTTAATAAAATTTATAAAATTTTTAATATTAGTAACTATTTTAAGTAATTTTTAATTTATTATAGTTTTAATTTTTTTTAAAATTTATATAAATACCTTCTCTTCTAATAATAATATTTAGAAACTTAATTTCTAGCTAATAAAATTTATATTTAAATATTTTTATATATAGGTTATTATCTTATAAGATATATAATATTTATTTTAAATATTTAATATAATTCTTTTTATATAATTATATTATTTAAAAATATATTATAAAATATATTTATATATTATTATAAAATATTATTTATAAAATATTAGAAAATAACTAGAGTATTAATTAAACTAAATAATATAATTAAAAATTTATATAGCCTAAAATAAATTTAAAAAATAATTAGATACTTTAATCTTTTCTTAATATAGATATTATTAAAAATAATTATTAAATTAATCTTAAAAAAGTATTATATTTCTTATAAGTTATTTAAGATTTCTTTAATTAGGAATAATAAATAATAATCTTTAATTAATATAATATTTAATTCTTAATAATCTATATATAAGTAGAGATTATTTTTAGATTTATTAATAAATAAAATTAAAAAAATAGCTAGAAATAAGCTAGAATATATAAAATCTTTTTTTAGATTCTTTTCTAACTATTCCTTTAAAATAATTAATTATACTTATAATATTAAATATAATTTATTAAATAAGAATTATTTTCTTTCTTAAATCTTAATATTATAATTATATAATTAATATAATAGTAGCTTCTTTATTTTTTAAGAATTAAATATATTTTAAAAATCTTATAATTTTTAAAAAAATATAGATAATAATTTAGGACTAGTATCTCTATATTTTAATTTTTTATTAATTTTATTTAATAAGATTTAATATAATTTTTATATTAAATAGTAAGTATATATAGCTAGTACTTTTAGGAATATTTAGTATATTTTAATAGATATAAAGAATTTTAACTCTAGTAATTTTTTTTATTAATTTAGTTATTTAAATTAATTTTTTTAAGAAATATTTATTAAAACTCTTACCTTTATAAGCTTAAGAAGTATATTATAGTATTTATAATAATATTAGTTATTAAATATAATTATTTAATTAGAGAAATATATCTTTAGATTATATATAATAAGCTAGACTAGTCCTAGGATAATTAAGTAATAAGAAAGATAGATAATATAAAAAATAGATTTTTAATTATAATAATTATTTAATAATAGATTAATTTTTATATAATAAGTTATTATATTTTCTTCTATTTTTTTATTATAAAAGCTAGATAAAAATATTAAATAAAAAAATAAAATAATCTTTAATTTATATATTTTTATTTATTAATAATTTATAAAATTAATTTCTTTAATTCTAGAATTAATTATAGTATAAATTAGTATTTTTAGATTTTTTTAGTATAATTATACTTATTATACTATTAAGTTAATATATATATAATAAGGATTAAGAAAGTTAGTTAATTTAGTAATAATATAGAATAAATAGAATAATATATCTAGTAGTAAGAGCTTCTATATATATTCTAGTACTAGATAGTAATTATAGTTAGGTAGACTCTATTTTCTAAGTTAGGTAGAATATTAAATAAGTATAGTTAGTTAGATTTTTCTAGAATAATAAAATAATTATTCTAAGCTATAATATAAGGAATAAGTAATATTATAATAAAAATTAGGCTAAAATAATATACTAGTATATTTATTTATTCTTAAATTTATATAAGATATTAATTAAATAAGAAATAATTCTTTATATAATATATTTTATTTTTATAGTAAAAATATTTCTTATACTTATATTATTCTTCCTTAAGAAAGTATAATATATAGTAAGTATAAAATAAGTCTATAATATCTAAATCTTTTCTAGGCATAGGGGGTATAACTAGGTAACTAGATAGAATAAAACTAGAGAGGTTTCTTAGTATTATAAGGCTAGAATAATAAGAACTAGATATTAAGTAAGAATAGGATACTTATAACTAGTATTAGTAATAATAATTTTTTAATAATTAAAGATAATTAGTATATTTTTAAAAATTTTAAAATAAGATAGAATTATAAAGTAATATATTTTAAAATTTAATTAAGATATTTTAAGTTAAGAAAAATATTAAGAAATTATTAAGTATTTTTTTTTCTAAAGTAAGATACTAAAACTTTATAAAATAAGTATTAAAATCTAAATTTCTTTATTTTTAATTATAAAAATAGTTTTAAATATTTTAAATTTAATTAGAGTCTCTAAATATTATTTCTAAATAATTAAATAAGTTAGAATAATCTAGAAACTAGAAAATATTAAATCTTATCTTAAGTAGGATTAATTTATAAGCCTTTTTAATTAGGTATTTTATTATATAAATTAGTTAGGCCTTAATAATTAAAAAATAGTCTAGATTAATATCTATTTTACTATAGATTTATTATATAAAGTAGTAATGTCAAGGTGCAGGATCAGATTCAGATATTCATTGACTAGGAGCTAACTAGACAGAACAGCAGAATAGTAGGTACCAGGTAATAGACAGGATATAGCTTAAAGAGTTATAATAAGATTAGGAGTAATATAGCTTAAATATAGGGATAGAGATAGATAGTTAGAGTAGAATCTAACTAGATAGATATTATAGCTTTATACTATAATAGTACCCCCCTTCTTAGGATTAAGCTCTATTAAGATTTAGGAAGGAAGTAACTAGGGCTTCTTAAAATAATAAAAGTAATAATTATTTACTAGCTAGTAAGTATTTTCTAAATATTTAGCAGGCTCTTTAGTTAATTTATTATATTTAATTTATTTAATAATATATTATAGCTTAAGTTTATTATAGCTTTAATAAACTTATTAAAAATTAAAGATTTTTTTAACTTTTTATTTTTTTAATTTTTTAACTTTAATAAATAATAATAGATTAAGATATTAATTAAATAAAAATTATTAGTAATAAGATAAAATAAAAATATATTAAATATAAAATAAATTTTTATATTTTTAAGTAATTTAAGTTTATAAGTATATAGGTTAATAATTTTTTTAATATAATATAATCTAAAAATTTTTTAATTTAATTTCTTTTATAGGTAGAGTATTTAAATATTATAAATATTAAGTTAGATTTTTTATTTTATAATATAATAATATATAAATTATCTTTAATAATTAGCTTATATCTTATAATAGGCTTAAGTAAATAAAATTTTAATATAAATAAATTTATAAATTTTATATATAATACTAGCCTTAAATCCTCGCTACGCTCGGCGGCTTGTTGGGGCATATGGCAAACTAATAGTATAGCCTTAATTATAGTATGATAGCTACTATATTAATGTAAGTATGGAAGTTAGAATTAAAATAGGCATTAAAGTAGATATTAAAGGAGGTATTAGCAGGCATCAAAGCAGGCATTAAAGGATATATTAAAGCAGGCATTCAAGTAGGCATTCAAGTAGGCATTCAAGTAGGCATTCAAGTAGGCATTCAAGTAGGCATTCAAGTAGGCATTCAAGTAGGCAATCAAGTAGGCATTCAAGTAGGTATTCAAGCAGGTATTAAAGCAAGTATTAAAGTAGGTATTAGTAGGTATCAAAGCAGGCATCAAAGCAGGCATTAAAGGATATATTAAAGCAGGCATTCAAGTAGGCATTCAAGTAGGCATTCAAGTAGGCATTCAAGTAGGCATTCAAGTAGGCATTCAAGTAGGCAATCAAGTAGGCATTCAAGTAGGTATTCAAGCAGGTATTAAAGCAAGTATTAAAGTAGGTATTAGTAGGTATCAAAGCAGGCATCAAAGCAGGCATCAAAGCAGGCATCAAAGCAGGCATCAAAGCAGGCATCAAAGCAGGCATTAAAGCAGGCATCAAAGCAGGCATCAAAGCAGGCATCAAAGCAGGCATTAAAGAAGGTATTAAAGCAGGTATTAGCAGGCATTCAAGTAGGCATTTAAGTAGGTATTAGCATAGTAATAGCTTATAAAAGTAGATAATATAGGAATCTCTATAACTAACAGGTTAACTAACATCCCCAGGTTCTATAGTATGGAAAAGATGGCCCTGCGGGCCATAGTTCTTCCGAACCACCGGCGCGCGTAGAACTCAGCACGGTGTACGGGTCATACCACGGGTGTTTGAGGGGGACTTTCATATATTATTTAATTAGTAAATTTCTTAGTATTTTTTTTAATAAGATAGATAATAAGATAACTTAAATTCTAATATTAAATAAAATTTATAATTAATTATAAATAATAATATTCTTATAAACTTAGAATAAATAAAATTAATAATAAATTTAATTATTAATAATTATTTAAATTAATTATTTTATAAATATAATATATATATTTATAAATATTATTTTAAGATAGTATTAATATACTTAATTTAGTTATTAATTTTAAAATAATAAATAATAAATAATAGATTATAAATTATAAATTTTTAAGTAAAATATTAAGTATTTTTAAAAAATAATAATAAACTAGACTTTATAATTTAATATAATTATTTTAAAAATATTATAAAATTTTTAAATATACTTAAAATATAGATTAGTTATTTTTTTAATATTAATTATTCTAGTATAAGGAAAGAAATACTTTATTTTTATTAAATAATTAATTATAACTAGAATAATATTATAACTATTATTTAGTAATAAATATATAATAAAGTTTATATTTATATTTTATTAAGTATATTTAAAAATTAATAAAGATTTTAATATTTCTTACTTTATTTTTTAAGAAGGAATAATTTAATAATAAAAATAATAATTCTAAATTTATTAATTTATATATTTATAAATTCTAAGCTAGAAATATTTATATAATATTAATTTATATATTTTAGTTTTTCTAAAATATCTAGTAGTAGAATTTTTATAATAAAGTCTTAATATTTTAGCTTTTATCTTATTATAATTAAATATATAAAGTTAATTTTAATATCTTAAGTATAATTTAATATATTTATAATTAATTAGTATAATATTAAGATATTTTAATAAATTATCTTTTAAAACTTTTAAAATAGATTAAAACTTCTTATCTTATAAATAAGCTTTATTAAATAGTAGTTATAATATTAATAATAAGAAGATTAATTTATTAATAATAAGTTATTTAGTAAAATATATTTAATATTAATTATTAATATTTAGCCTTAAATTAGTAATAATCTTAAATAATAGATTTTTAGATTTTAACATAATCTAACTCTAGTAAAGAAATTATTTATTCTCTTTTTTAAATAAGTTTTCTAATCTCTTAATTAATATATTAGGCTTGATATCTAATTTCCTAGAATAGTAATATATTTAAAAATTAAATTTTAATAAAAATTTAAATTAGTAAGCTTATTAATAATTTAATAACTTAATTAATATAAAATACTTTAGATTCTAGTAATTTATAATAATCTTTATAAGTAATAAAGTCCTTTCTAATTTAAGATATTATTTTTTAAAGTAATAAATAATAACTAGTAATTCTTTATTATAAATCTTATAATTATATTTTATTATAAAATATTTTTTAGAAAAAAATATAATAAAATATAATATATTTTTATTATTATATTATAATAATACTCTAATAAATATATAATTAAAAATATTAATTTCTAGAATTATATTTTTTAATTAATTAAAAAATTTTAATATTAAGATATTTATAAAAGTAGCTTTTAATTATTTAAATACTTTTTAATAAGTAAGTATCTAGTTAAAGTTAATATTTTTTTTAATTAAGTTAACTAGTAATCTAATAATTTTTAAAAAATTATAAATAAATTAGTAATAAAAATTCTTAAAATTAATAAAGGCTTAAATATTAATTAAATAGATTAATACTTTTTATTTAATAATTATTTTTATTTTATTAAAATTTATTTAAAAACTATCTTTATTTATAATTAATTTTAAGAACTTTATCTTATATATAAAGAATTTATATTTATTAAATTTAGTATAAAATTTTACTACTTATAAATATTTTAATATTTATTAAATATAATAAATATATTTAATATAAATTTAATTATAAATTAGAATATTATTTAAATATATAATATAAAAAATATCTAGATAATTATATAGGGCTTTATTAATAAATCTTTAAAATAATATTAGAGCTTTAATAAATCTAAATAATATTATTAAAGATTTAAATAGATTTAATTAAATTTAAGAAGTAATAAGATATTTTTATCCTTTCTTAATCTATAAATTATTAAAAGTAAAAATAATATTAATTTTTAAGAAATATTTTATCTCTTTTAAATTATTTAATATCTTTTTTATTAATAGTAATAAATAATAATTTTTTATAATAATTATATTTAGAATTTAATAATTTATATAAAATTATAGGCCTCCTTTAAATTTCTTTATAAATAAGATAAGAGATATAATAGGAGAAAAATTAAAGTAAATAAAATCTTTTTTTAGATTTTTTTTAATCTATTTCTTTAAAATTTTTAATTTATCTTATATAGGCTCCTAAATAATAAGATTTTTTTAGATAATAATTTAATTTTATAATTATTAAATTAGTAAGGTAGTAGGTACTTAGCTTTCTTTAGTAAGAATATATTATAAAATTTAATAAATTTAGAGAGTAGTTACTCTTATAATTTAGATTTAATAATAATAATAAGATTTAAAGTAGCTTTAATATCTTTAATAGTAATAATAAATATCTAGTATCTATAATAGGTATATATAATATAAATAGTAATTAATATTTTAATAATATCTTAATTCTTTAGAAATTTAGAGTAGAGATTAAGGTATTAAGGAAAAGTTTTTAATAATATATTATATAATATTAAAATCTTTATAAATTTTAAAAATATATTATAATATTTTTTATAATAAGGACTTTTAAATAGAATAGTATAATTAATAAATTTAATTTAGAGATTATAAATCTTTAATTAAAGTAAATTAAAAATAATAGAAAAGTATATAAGTTAAGTTATAAAAAAAATAATATTTTTTTTAATATAATTATAAATTTTTTAAGTTAAATAAATAAAATAAGTAATATAATTAGACTTTATTAGAGTATTATTAATTTTTTTTAATAAAATAAAATTTCTTAATAATAATATATTTAATTAATTATTTATAATTTAATTATAATTTATAAAATATTTATTCTTAGCTCTAGAATTAATTATAATAAAAATTAGTAAAATTTTATTAAAGATTTTTAGATTAATAAGTAAGATTATTAATTTAAATTAGTAATTTTTTTTCTTTATTATTATTCTAGTTATTATAACTTTTAATAGGTAGAGAAAGTACTAGAAGTATCCCTAATTATAATTTAGATTAAAGATACTCTATTTTTTAATTTAAAGAATAGAAGATATTTAGTAAGTAAGAATTTAGTTAATAAAAAATATAAGTCTAGTTTAGTAATAAATATAAAGATATAGCTAGTTAATCTTTAGTTAAAGTATAAATATCTACCTATTAAATAGTTAGTATTACTATAGTAATAATATAGGTATTAGATTTAATAATTAAGATAGTAAGTAGTAAATAAGTCTATTAAGACTTTAGTAAGAGTAGTAATAATAATAGGATTAATAAAGCTTATAGGAATTTAAATAGTAGGAATTAGCTTTAAAATAGATTAGGAAAGCTAGAAATTCTTTATAAATAAAAGTAGAATAATACTTATATAATAATAATAGTAATTTTTTAAATTTTATAAGTAATTAATAAAAATATAATAATCTTATAATAAGGCTTTAAAATATATTAATAATTTTTAAAATTTTTAATTAATAATTTATTCTAAAATTATAGATAAGATATCTTTATTTATATTTTTTTCTAATATAAGATATTAGAATTTAATAAAAAAAATATTAAATTTATAATAAATTTATTAAAAATAAAATAAGTTAATATAAATATTAATTTTTAAATTTAAATTTCTAAAAATTTTCTCTAAAATTTTTAAAATTTTAATATAATTATTTAATTTATAGATTTTATTTTAAATATATAATAAGATTTAAGTATATAAAGTTCTTTTAAAGTAACTAGTTATATAAATTATTTAATTATTTAAAATTAAAAAATAGTTAAGATTTATAATTATTTTCTAGTAAATTTAAAAAGTAAAATATCTTAAATTATTTTATTAGCTATTAAATTTATTAGGATTAGAAAGTTATTTAGAGATTTAGATAATAGAAATAGATATAATAAGAGTAATAATAATAATAGAAAAAATAATAATATTAATATCTTTTTTAGAAAAAAATAATAATTAAGAAAGTATATTATTCTAAATAAGTACTTTAAATAATTTTTATTAAATTTCTTTAATTTATATTTTCTAGTATTTAATTATATTATCTTTTTATTAGATATAATTAAGAAAATTAATAATAATAAAGTATAAAGTAAATAATTTATAGAATTTTTTTATAATAATAATAAAAAACTAGTATATTTTAGTAATATATTATCTTAATTTATTAGAGATATTATATAGAAGGGTTTCTATATTTTTAGGTAATATAAGTAATAAGGTAGGTATAATAATAGTAATTAATTCCTAATAAAGGGGAGCTATATAATATTAAGGTATAGAATTAGATTTAGATATTTATTAATTAGGAGCTAATTAGATAGAATAGTAAAATAGTAGGTACTAGGTAATAAATAGGATATATATAGCTTGAAGAGCTATAACAGGATTAAGAGTGATATGGCTTAAATACAGGAATAGAGGTAGACAGTCAGGGCAGAATCTAACTAGATAGGTACTATGGCTTCACACCGTGACAAGTAAAGATTAAAATAAGTATTATTAAATTTTTATAAATTAGGAAGTTTCTTACTAAGATAAGTACTAGAAAAAGAATTAGTAAAA